TGCCAGCTAATGAGTAGATCTGAGGGAGAAGAGTGGTAGCAGTGATGTGATGTAGAAGGAAGTGGAGGGCTTGAAGGTGATGTGGTGAAAGCCTCAATTGAAAGCTCTGCTCTGAGAAAGGTGGTAGGTTTTGAATGGATAGTAAGACTCTGGGTTATAACAAAAGAGGAGCTGGAACTCTGTGCGAAGCTGTGCCCCTTCAGAGCAGGGTTGGTGGTTCCAGGGCTTCTGGATTAAGAAAGAGAGAGGCGTCACAAGAGGGTATCTTTAACTAGGACTCCGGTGTTAGGGGCAGGACTCATGCACCTTTCCCAATCCTCTTTATTTTTCTTTTTTTTTTTCTTTTTTTTCCCCTCTCTCTCATCTGAAATATAGCAGCCATATGACAAAGATAGCCTTTGCTCATCTGTCATTTCTTTATTGTCTCATATAAAGTGTTTTCTTATCACGTTTCTTCCCTTTAATGCTGAATAAATTCAGATGTTGTAGATACACTGAAGTGCATATGACCTGGATTTTCTTTAGTGTATGACTCTGGATTGAGACAGAGTGGAGTAAAGAATGTTCTACAGCTTATCATTTTAATATGGTGTTAAGTTTGAACTATCAAAAGAACTTCTATACTTGTGTAATCATTACAGCTAAACCTTTCAACAGACAGAGCTATATATTTTTGCCAATAACCTCAAGTTTCTTTAAGAGACAGACGAATATATAGCCTCTGCCTATTTTCACCACCCTAGCCCTCTTACCCAGATGCTAAATTAAGACTATCTCTGTTTCCTTCAGAGGAAAAAATTGGTGTGAGATCAGAAACAAACTTTGTCACTTTCTGACCAAAGAACTGTCAAAGATGAAGAAGAATTGTTAGCCTGGGACAGAATTCACTTGGAATTGCTAAATGCAAGTCATGTAGCTGAGCTCTGAAGAGTCTTATTATTGAGGTCAAGGTCTACTCTTTGCTAGACATTAAATACCATTACACTGCCTACCACATTTCTGTTAGCTTAGAGGAGCTTGAATCTCAGCTCTGACCCTTGTCTCTCTCTACTACTTCAGAGAAATCATATAACACTACTTTCAGGTTTCTCAGTCTGCGTAAGGTAGGTTTGAGAATATTCAGCTATATAACTGAAGAGGCTAGCCTATGTTGGCATTAATCAGATAGAAATTTAGAGCACCAGGAAATCAGGGAAGGGAGGGACATCTCATCCAACAGGTGTAAGGTTATCTGCTAATGATTTTGAGCATAGGAAAAGTCTGTTTTAATCACCATGCTACATTTGTTCTGATTTGCTTTGTTAATATGCCATTTTTGCAAAATAAATTATGTCACCGTGTCTGATCTTCCTCAAGGTCTGTGAATGACCTCTCCTGGAAGTTTTCGTCATACCATATTTTAAAAACCTCTTTGTGGGTCATATTGGAACAAAAAAGAGAGATAAATTTAGCTTTTATTGATGGAATTGGGGCTTGCAAACTCGAACTTTTGCACAGAAGGTTTAACAAAACTCTTCTTGATGAAGCACTGGAACTTCACTATTGCGTGAAGAAAAAAGGAAGATTATGAAAGCAAAATCACTTAGTTTAGAAACTTGGTGATTGACTTTTTTTTAACTTCTGAGCTTGATGTTGAGTTTTTGAGTGGGTAGGGGAATATATTGGAGGGTTTTGGCGGAATGAGTTTATTATTAAAGGGAAGTATAAACTTTGTTTAGAACAACATTTTAATTAGCGCCCTTGCTAGATGAAATGTCTTTGTCTGCTAAAGAACACAAAGTACTTACTATTTGGTTAAACAAAAGACTAGGAAATATATTAACAGATAATATCTGTTCTGAATAATAGTTTCACTAACTGGAATGCATTTGGCTTCTATTACATAATCAAACCCAAATTACAGAATGGCAAGAGCTGCGTAGTCTCATTTCTTATTTAGTGCTAGTGCTGTAGCCTGCTGAGTGGTATGCAAATTGAAAAGTTGGGAGCTGATCCCCTAGTGAAGAGCAAGTTCATCCCAACAGTCAGGATAAACTTCCTTGCCAAGAGGCACCTTGTCCCTGGCAAGGGCCCTTTTAAGAGAGAGATTAACTTCCTTTTGCCCAGCAAATTTCCTTGCTACTTTCTTTGAATAAGTAACTGGTTTTAACTTGTGGAAAGGGAGGAAGAGCCCGACTTTATTGCATATCTTGATGTTACCTGTATCCAAATGTTATCTATACAGCTGTGGCCCACATCCACAGCTCTTCCTACATTACACTTTAAGGTATAGCTTCCACCAACTTCTGGAATCTAGGTTTATAATATATAGATATAGCATTTTGCCTTACTACGAACCTAAAAAACGTGAAGTCAGTGCATCAGAAACAAGCATGTATGTGTTTGCCTGGATCAGGGCCCTAATCTCAGCTATAGTATGTTAAGCTTTTTGGACTTGGAGATATTCAAAACCTGACTGGATGATGTCCTGAGCAACCTGCTGTCATTGACTCTGCTTTGACAAGGGGATTGAGCTACATGATCTCCAAATCATCTCAGCCCTTCTGTGACTCTGTGACAGCTTCACCTTTTTGGCAGCTTTCAACTTGCCAAAGACAGAGATGGGAAGAATTGAAGCTAAGCTAATGCTTTCCAGTGAGCAGTTCAGTACAGCCCACAGGAAACACCACTACAAGCCACTGGAATTGACCGTGACAGATTCAATCCTTTCAGTTATTTTGTGGGCTTCTGTATATTCATTTACAACCAGAAAACACTGTGTATGTCAGGCAGTATTCTAATGATGAGAAATTTTGGTCACATCTTGTGTTAAGGGAGTGATGTACACTTTCAAATTCTAGCTAAATCAGAACCACATTTGATAGATTATTTTTTGAATAACCGTTTGATATGAAGAATGTCTTTGGACAATATTCAAAATAACTCTCCTCTGTATATACGTGTGATTGGGTAGGGGATGGAAGAGACCAGAAAGACATGGATTCATTTCTCATCTTTGCCACTGGATTGTTGTGAGGTTTTTTATGTCCTTGTAGAGATCACTTTATCTTCTGTGTTTCGATTTCTTGCTCTTTGAAGGTGGCCAGCCTACAGGTCTCCATAAAACAGCTCGGGGAACATGGACATTGCTAAGAGCCCCAATATGAATAGTAATGTTAAGTATTGAAAAAGAGCTCGCCAGGCTTTCAAAGGATCTAACAAAAAAGTTTTATTAAGTTCTGTAACAGGATTAGATGAAGCAGAAATAAGTCTAAAACTTTGAGTGTTAGAGTAAAATAGTTTATTTTTAAAAGTATGACATTACTACAGACTAATGAGGGCACTAATTATTTTGAAAAGTTTGTAAACGAGATAGGTAGAATGTTTTAGAATAAAGACATTGAAAGACATTAAAAAAACCAAGTTGTGTTTTTAACACTTTACAGCTAATTTACTGGTGTTACAGCTCTGTTACTGTAATGCAGTTTTATGTTAATCAGTAGAATAGTGTGTTCAAAGTATGTTGTGGAGAACATCATCAGTAATTGTAGCTTAGTGATATCTATGTTGTTTGACAGATTTTAGGGAGTAAGAGAATATACTTGAATGTTTAATGAAAGGAGGAGCTGTGCCTGTTCTGGTTTTGGGGAGGATTTTTTGCCAGGCCAGGAGAGTAAGAATGTGATATTTACCACAGGTTTACTTTATCACAATTCTTGCTGGGTTTTCTTTATACTGTTAGAGTACTAATTGTCAGTCTTTTAAAGGGTTAACTTCACAAACATGCTTGATATTCTGAAATAGCTGTAAAAGTGTCCATGTGACCCTGTAGGATGAACTGAATTAATAGAAGATACTGTACTACTCTAACAGTCAAAAAGTGGACAATTGTCATTTACACTGGAGGTTTGTATTAATGATTTACTTTTTAAAAAGTTTACAAATTATATTCATGTTGCTGGAGTTGATAATTAATACTATTAATAAGTACAGAAACAGTCTAGAAAAACTTACTGTACTTGGATACAATGAAAAGCAGTATTCTCCAAGTCCCTACTACAGCTTTCCTGAATCTGGTTTGTAAGATTCACAGTAAAAGTGGCAGATGTTGGGGGAACTTATGAAAGTGCCACTTGGATAAGTTTAAAATTTCATCTGTTTACCTAAACACAGAATTAGGAAACTTGTTTGATTTGTGTTAATTTTTTAGATCCCTCTATTGAGTGTAGATTTACTGCTGCAATTTAAGGAAATCTAGCAGTGAGGCAGTATGCTGAATGAAACACGTTGTTTCCCTGAAACAGTGGAACATAAACTGTCAGTTTACTACAATGTTTGTTTAGCTTCCTGGATCTGTGTGAATGTATGTAATGTAATTTGCATGCATTTTGGATAATATAGAGAATAAGATGAAGGAGCCTTCCAAAAAGAATAGGAAATTAAAAGGGCATAATTCTTCTGTTCTTAACCACTGGATCCCAGGTAGAGCCTTACACAGGTAAACAAAAGCAGAAATGCTAGTTAGCTTAGAGCAGTTGGAAGGGGAGATTTCATATATAGAAACTGCAGTGTAAGAAAATGTCAGCTGTAAAAGCAAGCTTAAGAGAATGCCAAGGAGTATACCTCTTGCTACGTTGCTTAGAGAGAAGTAATGAAATGCAAAGATGAGAGTGGCAAAGCAAGAAGAGATTGTTTCATTCTTCCCATCCTCACCTTAAGGACTGCTTCCCTCTTACTGTGTTATAAGTAGTAAGCTTTTCCACAGTTAAGCTAATTTTGCAGAGCTTCAAAAGCTTAATTGGCTTTGCTGCATTAACAGAAGGTCATTTCCGCATTGTATTGTTTTGGGAAGTGCGGAGTATGACAGAACTGCAGAGTGAGTTGTGGGGTGGCACACTGCTGAGAGCCTCTGGGAGCAGATGTTGAACTACAGGCCCAAAACCTGACATTTACAATTTGGAACTTTTTCATAAAGAAAAGTGCTTTTGTTAAGCGGTTATTTTTTCCTTATCTATTCTCAGGGTTGCTCTTGTGGAAAATATTCCTGAAGGGATCAACTATTCAGACAGTGCACCATCCCATTTGTCTCTTTTCCAAGGCTGGATGAATTTGCTTAATATGGCTGAAAAGTCTGTTGACATAGTATCTTCCCAGTGGGACCTCAATCACAGTCATCCATCAGCATGCCAGGTATGTTCTAGCCTAACAAAAGAGTGGGACTTTAACAATCTGTTCTTGTTGTTTCGCTATTAATTTTTTAGAACTACAGCCCTTCCCTGTAGCAGACCTATTTGTTTGGGTAGTCTAAAGAAACATTTTCTTATGGGGATTTTCCTGCCAATACAATAGTTTTCTGAGAGTGATGGCACGCTTGGACTAGATAACACATCCGACACATGTTCATATCACTTCCATCTTAGCAAAGGATGTCATTGTGTAATCTTAAGAAACCTGCAAAATTGTACCTATGTTAACGCATCCATAATTTGGGAATATCCATAAATCTATACGCTTACTTTCTGTTTGGTGCAACTGATGAAGTAAAAGAGCAAGCCTGTGGATTAATTTGGCAGCCAAATAGATGGATAGAACTTTACGCTTATAGAGAACAATGTAGTATCAGGTGATTTCTCATACCTTTTCAAAATGAATCTTGGGAGGGAGCAGTGTTCAAGACTTCTGCAATTAAGAGCAACAGGAAAAATCATAAATCATAGTGAATGAGACTGACATGCATTACAATGATGCTGTGCCAACAAACACTTTATTCTTGAGAGCAATCCTCTTAGAAATATGGTTCGGGCAGGTTTCCACTTAGTATCACTTGTGAAACTAAGGCATCAAAGATTTGATAGGCTGAGAGTATCTCCTCTTTTCCACCAAATCGATTCTTTGCTGAAAGAAGCCACTCAGCTGACATGAAATGGGGTTAAAATGACAGCTGGGTAACTGTAAGGAATCAACTCAATTTATACTGTGTCATAAACTCTTCACTTTCCTCTCTAGTTCTGTTAATGCTGTGCAGTAAAAAAGTGCCTTTTGGTAGAGAATAGACAAAGACTGATATTCTGAGCAACTAAAGATAGTACTGCAAATAGCCTGTGGTTTCAAGTCATTAACTGAAGTCCACTTCTTTGGAAAGAGGCTGTAGCCTAGTTGAATGGCATACATTAACTTCAGAATAAATCTGCTGCCTGACCGTTTAAAAGGGTGAAAATCAGAGGTGAGCAGCCAAATGAAAAACGTAGTGCAAACCCTTCCTTTTAGAATGCTTATAAATAGTGGAATATAGTTTGTGAATAAGTTTATTGAGTATCAAAATATTGAGATTTTTCACAATGTAATTCTGCAGCTAAGCTTTATTTAAATTTATTGCCTAAGAAACTTCAAACCCATGTACTGTCATTCAAGCAGATGAATTCAAAGAGCGCCTTAGATGTGTTTTGGATGTGCATGAATTGGTATGTGCATGAATCTTTTAAAAATGTTTTGTCTGAAAAAAATTCAACATGTCATTTGCTTCAAAACCAGCAGAGCCTAACAAATCCCAAACAGAGGACAAAAATAGCAAACTGGAAATTGGGATTTCAGTAGTTAAGCATCAAATCCATTCACCATTCCACATTCTCATGCAAAGTAAAAACTGTAAGATATTGCCGAATGTCAGAGCAGGGAAAGGAAGAAGATACATGTAAGAGCTGGATTTGCTCTTTCATCCTCAAGTGCACTGTTCAAGCCAGAAAAATGAAACATTTTTCGTAATATTCTATTCTAGTTATCTATTTCTGCCTGCTAGTAGTCTTACAAAAGTGAGTAATTGCTTCTGTTTAAAGGCAATTAATATTCCAGTCATTTCCTCATTTGTACAGCAGTATGGGCTGAACAGCTGATAGATCTTTCTGTCAAGCTTGTCTTTTTGTGCTAAAACACTATACTCTTACTGGCTAGTCTAATTCCTAAAGAATTTGCCAAGAGGCAAATTAGCAAATCGCTGCCTCAGAGCAAATTAGCAAATCTTAGCAAATCGCTGCCCCAGAGAACGTACACAAAGCTTAGTGTGCGAAAGGGAAGGGAGAAAACTTGTATCATTATATCTGCTTTCTCCACTTATAAAATGAAAGTGAAGTTGCAGAGGAGCTTCAATAATTGTAATCTAGTAATTTTCTGAAGTATAAGTCAAATGTCCTCAAGTCTTTACAATTTGAATTGAGGGATATCTGCCCCAAAATAGCAGAAGCATTAGGAAAGGTAAGGGGTTGAGATGCAAAACTTCCAGGTACTATGGTGCTTAGTGAGTAAGTTCTAGTTGTTCCTTGAACGATCCTTGTTTTATCGGAAACGAAGGACATAACCGTTTTCCATACAGACCCACGTCCTGCCCTATAACTAGCAATTTCCATTGTATGAATATCCAAGGCATATTGCAAAGCAAGGTTCTCTACAAGAGCACTTCAACAGAGGTGTATTTTTGAAGGAGAAAAGCTGAGTTGGCTAGATTGCCTTTTCTTAATTAGTTACAAGGTTTAGTTATGTTCCCTGTATATGCATTTGCAGAGTTGCATACACACCTGTATACATATATATGCACACATATGTCCAATATACATATTGAAGAAAAATACAGCAGGGAATTCTGCAATTTTATAGACACACATACATATATATATGCGCCCAATATACATATCATCCATATGTCCATTTTGTCCAAATGTATATAGATATGCATGTGCATATACAATTGTGCAGAATTTCCTGCTGCATTTTTCATCATTTTTGTTTGTGGGTATGTTACCGAGTGTCCTTGATAGTTGCCTGTCCATGTTTTGTTGTTATAAATCTAAATAAACAGTCATTGCTGACGTAGCTGTCCAGGTCACAAGTGCTGTGCTCAGCCGTCTGAGTTCATGAGTCTTCTGAAACTGGAGTCTTCAAATGGAAACACATGATGCTACAATGTTGTGCGTGCTTCCACAGCAGTCAAATAAACAAGTATTTGTTTGGCAAAATGCTGATTAGGCTTTCTACACTTGCTTTTCTCCCTCAAAAGAAAACCATGTGCTTTGGTGACTTAGTGATGTCACCTGTGTGGATTTGCAAGGTTGCACAGTAATTGTCATAAAGAGGATTTGAGCTTTTTGCGGAATGTGAATCTCTGACTTCCCCTGTGGCAATGTGATGTTTAGAGATATCAGAGGACAATGGAAACGGCATTTTTGAGGATTCAAATTCATTTGCAGTAAAAGGAGAGGTGAACGTAAGATTATGCCAATTTCATGATTTTCCCAATTCATTTCGTTTGGTTCATCTCATATTTCAAAACTTTTTAATTTAGAGTGACCTTTTATAGTTCCAGCAAGTGCTTCCTCACAAATTTCATTTTAAGTTTAACAAATAAGAATTAACGCCATCATGGTTTATTGGTATTGCCACAGTTACGGCACAGAAATCGGCTACAATCAGCTGTAGAGACTGCAGTGTGTTTTCTGTCGGCACATCTGGACACAAATATCTCTTCAGGTGGTGGCATTTCCCCAATGCAGTCTGCACTATGCCTAGTACGGACTGAGGCATAGAAAAGAAATTTAAAAAGAGAATTTTTACAATTAAAGCATTTTTTTAAACTCTGACTGAAATTCCAAAAATTGACATTCCCTCCCTTTTCATTAGTTATTTTACTAGATGAGTTTGAGTAGTGCATTTGAGTTTCTCTGTTCTATATTAAATGGCAGAAGTTAAATTTAGGGTTTCTTGATTTATTTGCTCTATTGGTTTCTGCCAGCATGCTATGATTTTTAGTGATGTTTTATAGATATACCCAAAGGCTTGATCATAGGACAACTTTTAAAAATATTAGTAGAATTATATAGAATAAGTCCAGAAGAAAATTCTGGAAGTAACCAGTTTTATTTCTGTGGAAAGAAAAAGCTAAGCATTGTCTAAACAGTAGGAATCTAAGCCACCAAAGAGCACAATAATTCAGTTTTAGAGTACTTCAACAAATACAGGATTTTTGTGTTCATATCTCCCCTATTTTATTTTTAATGAGGAACACATGCTGATAAAGACACCAGCGGTCAAGGGAAATCAGCCAGGCTAGAATCAGTCTGCCCAGTGACTCCTAAGAAATTGCTTTGGGGGCAATTTCAGGGCCTTTTGGTAATGATTTGATAACTTTTTTTTTTTTTTTTTTTTAAATTGACTGGGTGGCTGTGGCAGGTACAGTTGGGATTGATGTTTCAGATGTATGGTAGTTTAAAGCTGCCACCAGAATGTCAGTTTGTTCATGTGATATCTACTTTTTACATCCTATTTTGTTACTTTCACCAGTTTTTTTTTAAAACAGCCCAGTGAAAAGTGTAAGAGAATGTTTTATGCCGATTTCTAGTGGTATTGTTTGTTAAAATGCTGATAGGGTATAAGGTAGCACTTGGCTGCTACTACTCAGTCCTCACAAGCTGAGAATATAGAAATGATTCTGATCGCTGTCACGTAGTCACGCAGCAGCCTGGTATTGTCTCGCAAAGGGAATGTGGTCTGAATGATGGCATGAGGGTTTGTATTCAACAGAAGCATTTCAAATGTGCTGACAGCAGTGACAAAACTCTTCAGACCTTCTGTCCTATCTTTTTCCTTTTCTTAGAACAAAACACTAAAATTGCAAGTAAACATGTCCAAAAGTATAGAAACTGTGTTTCAAATTAATATTAATGGGGGGAAAAGGCCAGGTTCTTTAACAATGAAGGAAGAATTTCTAGTACGTTACTTACTACAGTACGTACATATTTTTAAAAACAAATTGTGACTTTTTCATAGTATTTTAAAGTGTCTAGACTAAGCCGTGGTGAGTGTATGAATAGAAACTGCGTTTCAAATTAATATTAATGGGGGAAACGGCCAGGTTCTTTAACAATGAAGGAAGAATTTCTAGTACGTTACTTACTACAGTACGTACATATTTTTAAAAACAAATTGTGAATTTTTCATAGTATTTTAAAGTGTCTAGACTAAGCCGTGGTGAGTGTATGAATGCCTGCTGAGGGATGATGCAATGAGAGATGAGACAGAGGGAATTCTTTCCAGTTCTGGCACCGGGTGGTGGGTTTTGTATACCTGTGTAAACACGCATATTTGTGGTGAGGGTGCTCCTAGTCTTAACCATCACTACTTAAAGATGCTTTAAATGTTTTATCAATTTGAGGTTTCACCATAATTGGTCAGAAAAGGATATTATAAATGCACATCTTGTGGTGTCTCTGATGGGAAAAGAGATGCATTTTCAGAGAAGATGTCTTGATTGAAATGTAGGGCTGCACTCTAAGAGATCTATTCACCCATAGGATGGGCCGTTCAGCTGGCTGCCTGGCCTGTAAGAGACATCAAGGATGCTGTCTTGGTCACATCAGGGCATACTAAGATCAGGTAAAGCTCAGGAAACACTGCCTTGGGTTTTTGTCCAAACTAAAATTAATACAGAAAGTCCAGGCTTATGTATCAAAGCTTTTGTAAATCATATGTAAATAAAATCTTGTGCAGGTAGAAGTGAAATGGCAATAGTGTCCAAAAATAATTACCTTGGAGAAAAAAATGTAAAGAACCATCCCCTGAAACAAATTATTTTATCAGCTTTAGATGTTAGCTTTCTAAGTGTTTCTTTAGTAGAACAGTTAATGCATTAATTCATGTGGATAATGGGAATCAATTTCCATCAAATTTATGAATGCTTTTTCCATGTTTATTTTTATATGCTACAGCTTTCTATTATGCTTCTAGTCAAAATCAGTTTCTACAGATAACCCAAACAAAAACCATATGCCTCTGTCTTTCTACCTAGTGAATTAAATCAACACATAAAACCTTTCTGAATAGCAGTTTCTACATGTGTGTGTATATATATAATATATACATTTAATGAATTTGTCATGCAAGCCTTTTAGTCCTCAATTTTCCCCGTTCACTTTTTGCAGAGATAAAAGTAATGAAATTCAAAACTAGTGGGGTCTCCAGTTGGTGAACCCAGAAGAAGTGGGGTCAATAGCTGCCTGAGCTCTGGCAGGTCAGGAGCCCATCACCCCAGGGGAGCTGGGGGATGGGGCAAGGTGTGGGCTGGGCACTCGGCAGGCAACGGCGCAGTGATTGCAGGTCCTGGATTTGGCTGGAGACTAGCAGTGCCAATCTGCAGCAATTGTGGGAGAGACCCTCTTGAGGGACCAGGGCACCCAGGAATACTGGTCAGTGCCCCTCTGCGCCCCCAGGATCACGATAGAACTGCTGCATCCATCCCCTCATACTATTACCTCATTAATTCTTACCTCTGGTAACATCTGCCCCCTTCTCCTTAAAAAAACGCAACACAACCACTGATGTGAGAATTAAAGATCCTTTTAGCTTCATGAGAATGTGAGGGACAGGCAATCCTTGACTTGCACAGCAACTCAGTGAGAGCTTCTAATGTGTGTGAGTTAAATCATGGGTGTTATTTCTTACATACGGAACCACACAGGCACACCTCAAGAAATGCTGAATCTGAGTATAAAGAAGCCTTTGAGGCTTCACGCACAGCATGTTTTTCATTCTCTGTTCTGGTAGCATTGTCTCATGCTTTTGTTTTGGCAGTATCTTGTTGACTACTAAGTCCCTGTGAGCCCTAGGACAAGCAGTGAGCTATGCTATGGATCTGAGCGAGCAAGCAGGCATATATTACACAAGTAAAACATAAACAGCAGTTCTGCGTTTCCAGAGCAGCCTCTGGCTGCTCTGTAATTTTGAGAAAGCTATTTTTTGAGGAGGGTGGGTATTCTTATTTTGCCACATGTGTTCAAAATAAGTGAATATTAAGAAATAGGTCTGTACTGTAACCAGGGTGAAGAGCTACTTTCTGTGACTGCTTAATGCTTGAGTTCCAGCAAGGCTCAAAGCGTCAATCTGTGCAGGCAATTACAGGGCAAAGGCTGGCTCTCCACTGTCAGCCGCTTCTGGGTGTGATGTGGGAAGATGGCTTCTGTCTGTGTTTTGATAGTCCATGCTATGTCAGATTGCATCATCCCAAACTGCTTTTTTATTGGCTGTTTTTGTAGAATAGAAAGATCCTTTAAAAATTTTTAGAGTAACCATTCGTACAAAGAACTGTCTAACGTGGTTCTGCGGAACGCTTTATATTCTACCTGTTTGTCTGAAAGTTGATACGACTTGCTTTTTTCTTTTAGCTTTACCTTAGGGCCAGCATTATATTGAATCTAAAGTGAGCTGTGTAGGTTGGGCAGGCACTTTGTTAGCTGATTATACCCTAAGTTTTTGTGTATTTGACTAGTAATTGTAACTGATGTCTGCTGTAGTAAGCAGG